GAGGTAAATCTGTTCAGTGCTTTAATCCCTTTAAACTGTTTCTGTCCATTCTCCAACTATTTCTATCCTTTTGCATTCTTCTTCTCCTAAGCTCTGTCTCGCTCCTTCAAAGTCTGCTCCCCTGAAACTGTACACTTCGTTTTGGACACAGTCTGTACAGTTTCAAAATATGCTTCAAAGCATGTCACATTACCACCACAGTTCCCTTAGGGTTCACTCTTCATTTTACATCACTTTTCTCTATTGTTTGAAACGTCAAGATCAAAACAGGCATTTCCTCTTGTAGGTGAACCTAGTAACTGGATAAAAAAGCAGTCATTAACCACATCTACTATTATTTCAGTTTCTCCAGGTGACATTCCAGTAGGTTTTTCTCATGATATCTTCTTTTGCACATAAAATACTTGCTTTCATTATACAATGTTGGATTTAAATAAACATTTGCAAACATCTGTATACTCCTAACTCCGTTACTTCAGGGTGTTGTTTGACGGGTCTGATCGATATTGATTATAAGCCTCTTAATTCCATTCATTTTAGTTCCTGCACCTGAATACTCTTTTTGATATATGATGCTACACCTCCTGTTCTTCTATATTTCCTCACTCCAGAACAGAGTGTTCATTATGTGGTAATGTTACATTCACCTCCATTGTTTTTGGTTAGCCATGTTTCTTGTTTCCAGTTATGTCATAATTGCCTGCTAATGTAATAGCTTCGATTACATTTGTCTCCATTGTTTTGTTTCTAACATTTCTAGCATTTATGTATAACCATTTAATTGCCTGGTCCTTTTTTTCCTCTTTGGCTCTCCTTTTGTCTTTGCTTCCCTTTGGATTTTCTTTGGCTTTGCCCTTTTTGAAATCTACTTTAAGTATATGTGTATTTTCTTCTTGATCCTTGTACCAAGATGACACCTTTCATTTAGGTGTAATCTGTCACATCTGTACAGAAGATCTTTGCCATGGGAATGTCCCCAGTGACCAAAGAAAGCTGAAGCTAAGCTGCCTTCTGCACACCAAGTTCTCGGCCATTTTCCAAGCTGATGGATTAATATTTGTAGTCTTTCTATCCTGCCTGCTTTAGCCCAGTGCTGGTAGGATTCCTTAGAAAACCACTGATCTAGTCTTAATCTTCAGTTTGATGCCTAAATTGTCTGGCGTTGCCTGAATTTCTTTTGTGTGCTTTTAGAATCATGTCATTTGAGCTCACACGGACACCAACTAGTGGTCTGTTGCCTGCCCAGGCTAGGAGCCTGTCAATTGTATGCATGATATCAACCACCTCGCTAAAAAAAGACAACAAACAACCACCACTTCTCTTTTTAAGATTCTAATCAGTACTAGTATTTCTGTCTTTACGATTCATGTTTGAGATTTCTTGTCAGTGATGGAGACGTCCTGGCCTTCAGCTTCCATGTCCTGGAGTGGGGCAAGATTGGTGATGTGATGCTGGGTGGTATTATTTGGATTGATTGGGATTTTGTGTTTTTTGTGTTTTAGGATTTGGGTTTTCTGTTTCTATACCACAGAAATACAGTATTCTGGCTGTTCACATTCCTCCAGGATGTCTAAATGTCACTTCACACGTCAATCAAAGTGCAGATCACTGGCTTAAACACATTTTTTGAAGTATTAAATGCATAATATACGTGGTTTGGAAAAGTGTTTTTTGTTTGGCAGAAACAGCGGCCCTGTTTCTTTATAGCTGCATAAATGCTGTCAGCCTTCCTGCTTATAATTACAACCTTTTTAGTTTCGTTTGCAGCACTATGACCTGTAACAGTGATCAAGGCAGTCTGGACTGTACACACACTTCCTGCAGCATTGCAATCCTTCCTTCCATCCATCTCTGTATCACCATACAGAGTTATATCCAGGCTTATCCAGGACAGGGTCACAGAAAAGGCAAAGCCTATCCTGGCGAAAAACGATACACCCTGGATGGGACACCCATCCCATCCCAGGGCACATACAAACACAAACACACACTGACACCAGGGCTCGTTTTCCAAGAAGTCTTTGGACTGTGGGAGGAAAACGGAGCACCCTAGTGGTAACCTACATGAACATGGGGAGAACATACAAACTCGATGCAGATAAGATTGTATGGAATCCTTATAGTGTAGCTTAATATTTTGTTCTTTGGAAGCAAATCACCAATTATACCTTTTCTCAAGCCAGATAAACGGTCCAATACATGTGAAACCTTAAAACTGCATATCAGAAAAAGAAGGTACTGTGTTAATCCCATTGACTGCATGCACAATCCTTGTACAGTTACTATGCTGTTCAAGCAGTGTATTACATTTTCTGAAATTGTATGCAATGAGAAATGTGTACACAAATCTTGATGTGAACCACCTCTTTGGCTGTGATCATACATTACAGAAATGCTTTGGTGTTCTTCTTGGCAGTGATCACCCTAGAAATTCCTTAACCCAGTCACTTCCTGAGATAACTGTGGCATGCTGACTTTCTCATTGCAGGATATATATGGCATCCTAATTGAAATAAGAACTTTATCCTACAGGCCATTATGTTTAAAAAAGCAGCTGGACACTGGCGTTTTTGGGCTGCAGACTATCCAAGAATAGAAGTTTCATTAGGACTCACATCTGAACCTATTTTTTTTCTGTAATCCTGAATGACAACCAGAACTAGAAGAGTCAGAGAGACGACTTGGCAGACAACAGCAACCCCAAGAAAATAAAAATGGCCTATTTGTCTAATCACCTAAGGACTGGGATATATTGTAGTGTACAATCTTGTGCCCTTCACACACGAATTCCCACTTGAGTCTGCAAGGGCTTAGGGTCTCCTATTTCTAATCTGTGTTTCACAATCGTGTGCCCCCAATGCACCCTTTATGCACCCTTCTCTGAAGTCCACATCAGAGCAGACCTCACAGATGAGAATTACCACTGATTCCTTGAGAAATGGTCACATTTAATGTTCTAACCTATCAAAGCAGAGTGAAGTTGTCATAGAGAATAAAATATTCACATTTTAGTAAAGTTTCATTTTTTTACTCATCATATTTTATGTTAAAACACAATTTCATTAGGCTGCTTTAAATTCATATGTACTGTATTCTAGGTACGAATCGCCAACGTAAAGCTTTTATTTTCTCACCCCATTACAACTGATGAATATTCGTTTACCTACAGTGTATTTTTACACAGAAAGACAAAGTATTCAGTAGTCCAAAGCTTTGAAGTATTTCCAAGTTTTTCTTAGTTTAATTCTCGCATTTCACGTCACGCCTTCTCAACACGAATGAACACAATATGTAACTACTTTAAAGCAGGTACAGACGAGATATCAAACTGTGAGCGAAGAATGAAAAAGTCTGTAAAAAATTATCTGCAGACGTGTACATAGCCACTGGAAAAGAAGCAGTACAAAAGCAGTACAACAACAGAAAGCATTTTGACCATGAGCCGTGTAACCAATGAGTGCTGTCATGTGCAGGTGTCACATTACTGTTTTATAATAGTGCACCCTTGAATGCTCACACACTTTAAGTCCGCATTTGCTCTATGTCACCTAAATGCGGACTTGGTTGAAGAAGTCAGAGCTTAGTGAAGCATTTGGGTCATTCTTTTCACTTTCCACACATTGTAACTATTGTATGACTTTTTGTTACATAAGAGTAAGTTGTAAATGTAAAACATGTAAAACATAAAACCTGAATAAAATGTAAAACACTTCCATGGATTTGCCTTCTGAGCCAAAACACGTGTTCTTTTTAATATTTCAGAAGGAATTCTGTACAGCCTTAATGTTTGTGCAAGCCGGAGGAAAGGGTGTCGGTTTCAGCATACATCGCTCTCTACGAATCAATCCCAGAGCAGCAAGGGGATAAAGCAGCTCATCTTTTTACATAGCATGTATTGTATAATCAACCTTTAATCCTTTTTGAAATGCGTATCATTCATATCTGCTGAGAATAGCCCAAGGCAAGGTCAAAGCAGATCAGCTGAAAAAACTTGAAGCGGGGAAAGAGCATGAATAAAAAAACAGCTCCTTTGTGGCTGACATGAACAAAGAGGAAGGTGGGTCTCTTTGTCCTTGGCAGTTCTCGTGATCTTGCAAGGACACACTTCTATAATATTCTTGAATTTCTAAGGATGACACTTAGGATTTCAGTGTGTCAGAACTTAGACTCAATCAAAGGCAGCTGACCCTGACAAAGTGCCAGCAAAACTGCCGAAGAATAAAAACACGTCCGTACCAGGTGAGGTTAGCAGGGTGTGTAGTTTCTAGGGGGTTTCACACCTGATACAGTACATCATTCAGTGGGAAGATGAATTCTGTGGCGTCTCTACCATTAGTGGCACAACAGGCTGATTCAATCAAAACTCAAAATGAGAAAAAGGCGCCAGTTACCTTTGCAATCTGCACACACCAGTTGAGGAGGTACTGAGAGCCGATGTTGTCCTTGTGTTCTTTTACGTAGTCCAGCAGGCAGCCGTAGGGCATGAGCTGGGTTATCAGCTGCACTGTGGAGGTCAGGCAGATTCCCAGCAGCCGGCAGACATGAGGATTGTTAACGCTGGCCATCACATAGGCCTCCTGCATTGAAGGCAGAGAGGGAGGGATTTTACAAAAAATGATACTGATAAAGCAAATGCACCTCTCTCATGAAAAATAATAATGTGCATAAGGTGTTTATTTGCCTCTTGACAATGCTTATTTTAACTGTAAAATTAAGAAGTGTGTCTTAGGAGTACATCATTTCTAATATTACTTGAGGCTTTCTTTGAGGATAGAGATACACTGTCACAAACAGCAAGAAATAAATGGAGGAGGGCTAACTTATCCTGTAGAATTATCTAGACAGTTTACTCCAGCAAGTCTATCAATAATGGTTTGATTGTGAAGCCACCGCAGTCACAGCAGGCAGAATGAGTTTGGTTTTGGCTCACGTTGTTTCTTAATGCAATTTCAAACAGTTTTTGAGTTCTTGTCAAATTCAGAATACACATTTCAAATTAGAACAAGGTTGTGGTGTCTTCTTCAGTTGCAACACACTATGTGCTAAGTCTCCTTTGCCAGCTAAAAAAAAATACACTAGCTCTTTTTCACGACATCACTTGGACGCAAGTCTTTTTTTCTTGAAACAATTCCAGCACTTTGTGAAGTGTGTATATGCAAAGGTGTATCAAGGGCACTGAAACAACCCATTACTTTACAGATCACAACACTTAACATACAGTACTGTATGCTGAAAATGTGTCCTGCCCGTAAAAGCACTCAGTGACCTCAATATGCACAATGACCTGCCAATTATATGGCCAGCTATGCAGTTTCTTAGGATTAAGCCCCTGGACACAAGAAGAGTTCAAAATGATGTTTTCCTGTACATCCTGCATTCTAATACATTGTGCACTCCTCTTGCAGAGACAGATTTTAGTCATCTCCTCCAGGACTACATGACCTCAGAGGCTGATTCTTTTTGGCGCCACACAAACGTTCCGCCATACAAACTGTGCACGTCCCACAGACTAAAACAACCCCGTGAGTTTTGTCTCTTTGATGTCTAACAGCTGAACTGATTCCAGCTGAAGCAGACATTACAACAGACATTGAAAACACAAATTATTGATAAAGAGTCCATATTTCGAAAACCTTTTAGCACAAGAGATTATCCAGGGGAAAAAGATTTACACCCCACTACAAACAGAGCAGTTAAGAACAGTCCAAAATATATTCCAGTATATACAGTACATAACAGGAAAATGCAAATAAATAAATGAACTAAAGAACGGAAATAAAGTTAATTTCATTTTATGTTTAGAGTATATTACACATTAGCATACTCTTGTGCTTCTGTGACTATTTCACGTTTGACGGAAACAACACTCACATCCAAGATCTCTTTGTTGGCTTTTGGAGATGTTGCTTCTCTCAAGACTTTAATGGCAACAGGAATCTTCACATCTTCTCCTTCGGGGATCCACAAACCCTGCGTGAAGCACATTTGGCACAAGCACATTTGAATAATACATTTCAACATTTGTTTTAATTGAATTTAAGACACTATTGTCGAATAAACACTTAGTTTTTTCCAAAAAAAAGGACAAAAGCCAAATCCCTGCTTTTCTTATGAAGTTTTAAAAATGTTTTCTGTTACATCCTACCAAAAATGGAAATTTGGTAATTTTTATATTTTTTCTTCTTTGGTCTCATATCCTATGTCACTTTAACAACATACTAATTTGTGTGTCTTAGCTCTAGATGGTCTGCAAGTCATATATACTGTATGTACAGTATCTACTGTATCTCCGAAAGTCTGCAGGGAGAGGATTCGTCCCAAAAGATAATTTTCTCTCTGGAATTCAGACAACAGGGGTCAATAAGAAGTAATGTAAACCAAAGAAAAAAGATAATTTGATCTGATTTTAACATCATAATAGCTTTGCAAATGTTTACCTTGTACACAGTACCAAAGGCCCCAGAGCCAAGGACCTGTATCTTCTTAAACTCAGTCTCTTTCAAGATCCGCAGCAGGGCCTGGTTGGGTGCTTCTCCACTGGGTGTCAGAGGCTCCACCAGCTGGAAAGAGAAGACACGGATGTCCCCAGATGTGCACATGACCTGGAGTGAGCTCTGACATCAGAATGATTGGTGGCAGAAAGAGGTGAAAAAACGAACATCTAGCTTTCTGTCACATAATTTAATTCTGAAATACATCCAAAGGGCATTCATCTATCCTTATAGTAAAAATAAATATAACACTCTCACACACCTTTTACACTGGTGAACCATCAGCATTCACTGCTAACTACAAGTACATTATAATACCTGTAGTCTTGCAATCATTTTCCCTGCACAGTGGATAGATACTTTGTCTACTGGTGTGGAAATGTGTCTTTGGTGTGGAAATGTGTCTTTGGCTTCTCCCACAGAAGTACAAAACACACAAGCAAAACATAACAGTCACATAAAATCACAACAGCAGTATGTGATACATAAATAGATGGATAAATAGTTAAAGGGGGGAATATATTTACATGCCTTCATTGAGTAGTTTTATTGCAGAGGGACAAAGGACTCTAGTAAATGTTTTTATTTGAATTTGGTACCCTATACCGTCTTCCTGATGGGAGCATTATGAATTGGAATGGAGTGGGAGTGTGGAATCACCTGTGACTCCTTGCCATTGTGAGAGCTATATCATGATAAGTTGCAGAGCTGGGGCTACTGTTTCCCAATTATTTATGGCCAGCAGCCATATAACTGCAACTCACAACTGACAACCCACTGAAGCTAAGCAGGTGTGAGCCTGGTATCTGGATGGGAGACCTCCTGGGAAAAACTAAGGTTGCTGCTGGAAGAGGTGTTAGTGGGGCCAGCAGGGGGCGCTCGCTCTGCGGTCCATGTGGGTCCTAATGCCGCAGTATAGTGACGAGGACACTATACTGTAAACAGGCGCCGTAAAACCGAGGTCCAGACTCTCTGTGGTCATTAAAAATTAAAAATCCCAGGGCGTTTCTGGAAAAGAGTAGGGGTGTAACCCTGGCATCCTGGCCAAATTTCCCATTGGCCCATACCAATCATGGCCTCCTAATAATCCCCACCTATGAACTGGCTTCATTACTCCACTTTCCTCCCCACTGATAGCTGATGTGTAGTGAGAGTTCTGGCGCACTACGGCTGCCATCGCATCATCCAGGTGGGGCTGCACATTGGTGGTGTTGGAGGGGAGTCCCCATTACTTGTAAAGCGCTTTGAGTGGAGTGTCCAAAAAAGCACTATATAAGTGTAAGCAACTATAATTATTATAATTCTTCTTATTATTATTTTTCCTGTATTTCTCACAATCCTGGAAAGTTTGGTCTTGTTTTTCAACCCCATGTTTTCATACCAAACTGTCATGTTAAAGGCCAGGATGCTCTCAACAAGTCTTTTATATGCCTTCTCTAGGGTGTTTTCCCTAACATTAAAGTTCTTGAATCTTTTAATTAAAAACAGCTTCTGATTTGATTTCTTAAATATGTTGTCTATATTCTCAGCGTAACTCAGCCTCTGATCAATGTTCGAACCTCTCTTTCTTGTAGTAGCCTGCGAAGAGTCCTCTTCCTCTTGATGTAACGTCTGCGCATCAAGATGAATATTGCCAGGGCAATGATGACAGTCACCAACAAGCCTCCAACCACCCCGGCAGCAATCGAAGACAACTGAGAGCTAGGAGATCAAACAAGGCATTTGAATGACCACTGTGACCTCAGCAGAGAAAAGAATATTGTATACTTCGGAAATTAGGCAGCTCTGAAAGAAAGAGTGAAATTAATTGAGTAATCCCCATAACTTTCAGAATATCTTTATTTTAGACATAGAGAAGCACAGAGTATACACATTCACATAAAGCCAAAATGTGGCTTTCTTATGAAAGGACTTTTCTTACTGTTACAATGCATTTTCAATTTGTCATGAGCAACTGCCTGATTAAGGGTTATACTTGAAATAATCACCTTCAGTCAACTATGCGGAGAAATATACTGGTTATCATTGCTTCCCACATTCCCGTGTATAGTTGTGGATGTTTACACAATTTACAATTTACACAATTTTTGTGCAATTGTTGTGCATAAAAAAAATAAATTAAATTCATTCTTTCTTAGTCTGTTGTAAATTGAATACAGCTGGCAGCACACCCCAGATATGCAGAGATAGCAAAATTTAGAGGCTATTTAAATTAACTTAACAACAGAATATAATGTCACAGAGATTTAAATTGAAATCCATTGCAGCATTGTACACACACCGTGCAATTAATGGCTAACATACAAATTTGAAATGCATCATGTTATTGTATTTGAATGTGAACAGGAAAGTCTTACGTCTGATGATCACAGCCAGCCAGACCAGGTCCTGTACACCTGTAGATCAGAAGGAAACATTCATCATTGAGCTGCTCCTTTTCACTTTTCTAAACACAAATGAATTATGAACCGTTTGTTGAAAGGAGCGTGATCCTCACCAAAGGACATCAGCCCCAAATAAGAGAATGCACTGTTAAAGCTCCAACAACATGGCATAGCTACAGTAACAACACCTGGAGAATTTAACTGTAGAGATGGCACTTGAAGGTTCCAATACAAACATTCAGGCAGACTAAATGTTGAATCAAATAAGAGGCAAAGCATATCTAGTGAATTGCAGCTGCAGTGCTTATCCCTGGCAAATCTGGATTTCGGTTCCAACATAAGCCCTCTGTTATGCAATTGCCTAATCATTTGCTCAACAGGACAATATGTACACTGCTCATATTTTTAATTGGCTTCTTCGATATGTGCTTCATTGAATGTATAAACCAAACTGAGGAGTGATGGGATATTCCTGCTTGGAAAAATGCCATTCTGAAATGGTTATATTCTGTGTGTTTTTTTGCTTTGTAATTTTGTAGATAACTGTCTGTTCAAACTCTGGCTTGTTCACTTGACTCGGGTGTTACTGCCCTATGATATTTAAAGTATAGCTTTTGTAAGTGTTAAATTTAGGTAACTCTTGATTTAATGTTATGGTGTGTCACAGGAAAAACAGAGAAATCCTCATGTACTTGATAGATGCAGTGGATCACCCATCGAACATACTTACCCCTGAGTACAGTTGGGATGGCACAGCTGACAGACCTTCTTCTCATCTGCATATTTCCAAATGAAGGTATCATTCTCTCCTGGGATCCCAGAGGGGCATTTGTGTACACAGTGGGGGCCATCTTTGAAATGGGCACATTCGGCGCACTTGTCCGGACCCTCAAGGAAGAAAGTATATATTTTTCTCTTTTTTCCCCCAAATACACACACAAAAAAACTGAAATACACCCCACATGTCATCATGCTGTTAAATGTTGATTGTTTTAATCGTTTTACCTTATAATTGTCACAAGACTATTACAGCTGCTTCATTCTAGAAACACTAAAGCCAATTTAGAGAAGACACTGGAATGCATTAAACATGAGCAAAAATTCTTTTCTCTATCTGTTCCTTTTTCTAAACGATGAGTTAAAAAAAATCCCCCTGTCTACAATGAAGCAGAGCAGAGCTCTTTGTAGAAGCTTAGAGACATTTCTTGGAAGCAGAGATCTAGAGGTTAGTCTTCTGAAACAATAGCTTTTTTGTTGTTTTGTTTCTTTCCTCTGTCCACTGCATTTATTTTACAGCACTAACAATTACATTTAATGGTAGGTTAAAGACATGAGTCTTGAATGTGTATTTTTACATGTTATTTTGTAATCTACCTTGCTTCTTGTATTTCTGTGAAAATAACCATCTTCTTTCAATGAGATTTTTGGACAATTTGTCAAACACTAGACAATCAGGCCTGAGCAGTATAGTACTCCAAAACCTTTAGGTATAATGTACATGTATGTGTTCTCCAAAAAGCATTTTGTTAATTTATTTATAAACATAAATTCCTTATACTGTAAGTCCCTTCAATGCAGAATAAATGTATCGAGAGACATAGAAATGTATATTTTATATTGTACAAACATAAAAAGATAAATTCAGTTTATACTTATGTCTCATAAAGCTTGTGCACACTATGCAGAGAAGATTCTGGAGACAATGAACATACCGATCCAGTGCAGGTCTGGGTTCCATTCTGTGGCATGCACTCCGGGTCACACTCAATACACTTTTTGTCCATTATAAATTCTCTCGGCAACCTGAGGAAAGGAGAAAATAATCAATGCTTGCAATCAAGTTCACTTCCTGGACCCTCTCACTGCACAAAATAAGAATCCTGACTTTGAGGCATAGCTGAGCTGCTGCGTTGCCCGAAGGAGTCTGACAGAAACTGCAACTGTGGGCATGCAGCCGGACACTCGGGTACGTCTGCACGGATTGGTACGTCAGTGTGCAGTTGTTGTCAAATCCAAAAAGAGAAATGGCAAGAGTCACAAATATCAGTAATGCTTTATTAGTGTTGGCAAAAGAGTGAGAAAACTTCACTTACTCCTTCTGCTGTCCTCTTTCTGAGATTACTCTTCTATGTATGTGCTATAATACTGAGTTACAGGCAGAGCCACAGAACATGGTGTTATGTCACTTCTGCCTTAGTGGCTGTTGGGACTTATGTAAACCAAAAGGTTCCCAGGTAACTTTTGATACATTATGCCCCATAAAAAAGTTTATTTTTCCTCCCTTTGGGCTTTTGTATGACACTTCTAAATTATTTTATTGTTTGACTGTAAAAATAGAAAAAAACAAAGACTGTGTCAATGTTACTGACTACAATACTTTGATGAAAAGCAGCACTGAAGGAGCTAAGCGAAAAACAGGAAAATATTTTTTTTTCTCATATGTTTATGTTCCGTAATATCAACCAGATAATTTGGTGAACAAAAGGTTGTGAGTGTGTATGTGTGTCACTCTAATTTGCTTAAATGTTTTTCTTTTAAGTCATAGATACACTTAAAAAAAAACTTAAGAAGTTAAAGGTTCATTTTTGCATTGTTTAATACAGCTAAAAGTGTACTTTGTAAATCCGAAATGCACTGTGGCTTGCAGGACTATGGCACACGTTAAGGACTCCTGTCATCTGACCTACTGACTAATGGCATTTCTGATAGAAGTGCCTTCACTCTAATTGCCAGCAGGAGTCAGAGGGGTTAAGAACAGAGTCAGTAAACCAAACTTAATTTTGAAGCACTCCTTCAAATTTCAAATGTCCAAATTTATAAATATACAAATGCAGGAAGGTTCCACAGAGACATGTAATGAATGGCATTCCTTTGTTTCAGAAAGTGAAACAGAACAGAGAATTTCAAAAGTACTTTCATTGTCAATATAAATGTTTTTTTTTAAATACTTTTCAGCATGGTGATAGCCTCTGCTTCGTCATTTGCAGCAGATACAGCTCCCTACTTGAACCTCTGTTAGAAATAATGAGCTAAGTGAAAGAAGGCTATGATGGTTTAATCCATACTGAACTGTTCCAAGGAACATAATGTTCACAGCTCAAACAGCAGGACTAAAGGCAAAGTCTAAACATTTTTCTAAGGCATTGTTTTCAGTAAGGAGAGTTAGAAATTCTGTTGGAAAATACATTACTCTTGGCAGAAGTGGAAACACACGCTGCTTATACTATTTTCCCAAGTCCTGACTGTTACAGAAGAAATGTGTTTCTAATTAACTGGCTGTGCGGAGGATCCTCTCAGAATATAAATTGAAGCTGAGATGAACCAACAGACCAAACACTCTGAAAGACTTCAATAACAGGTCTAGACTTGCTGTGTATAAAGATAAACATTAATGACAGATATTGTTTTTAAAAATCATGGCTCTGTACTGATAAATAAAAACAAATCTCAGTATTGCAATGCTCTGGTTTGAGCATTCCTGCAAAAGTCAACATCTTATTACTGTACATTGCAAGTGTTACCATCTTGTAGCCTGATCTTGATCTCTGAAGCTAAGCAAGACTGAGCCTGGTCTTTTAAGGAAATTCAGGTTGATGCAGTAAGTGGTGCTGGCAGACCAGAAGGCAGCACATTTCCATTTGGACAAAAGGAGGTGTAGTCCTTCAGATGAAATCTTAAATGCAGGTTCTAACTACTTGTACGCTCAAGAGCCCATGACAGTTTGTGAAATAGTAGGGATGTTAATGTGACCATTGCAGATCCACACAGGCTCGTGCCTTCCGCCACCTGTTCTGTCCCGCAGCACCTGGGGCGCGAGCTAAAGGAGACCTCCCTCAGCCCAGGCAGCTGAGGTCCCTGCTACGTGCAGTGAGGGCGATGACGTCACCGTATCTGAACTAGCAGCACTACATTAATTTTGGTGTCCTGACTAAACTCCACCATAGGCTTATACAGTACAACCTTACCTACATAAAAATTTAATCAACAAAGCAATTTCTCACTTCACTGTGTAATACTGTATGTTGCTTAGTGTGTGGGTTGCTGGTACATAATGGCCACAGTGTGTAACCCAGATGGATTCTGTACTTTAGAACCCTGGGTTCAGGTCCTTTTCCATTAATGTATAAAGA